ATGTTCCAGGATCCTATATCCAACTGCCTTCTAGACATCTCACACTTGCCAATGATATACCCTGCAAGCATGTTAAACACAGGTCCAAAGTTGAACTCATTCTCTTCTCCCTCATACCTTCTTCCTCTTCTCTTTTCCTACTCACTACCCAGAAACCTATGAAGCATTCTAACATTCTCACTCTCCCATATCTTTTACATTCAAACAGTCACAAAGACCAGCAAATTCTCCCTCATCTAACGTTTCCTAAACATTCTCACTTCTCTATTCCCACTACTTCCACCCTTATCTAAGCTTTCAACCTCTCTTATCCATACTAATGCACTGTCCTTGAAAGCTTCCAATCTTGCCATGTCCCCACACCCAACCCCACTCTACCCTCAATCTACCCAGCACACTGCTTTCAGTGATCTTCCATGACACTCACAATTCTTCAGTGGCTGACTACTACACATGGTATAGAAAGTGTACCCTGAACTGGCTATCCAGTTTCATCTCCTTTCACTCCTGACCTTGTCCTTCACACTCTAATATAAAAGTGGCACTACATATAGTGCCACTATATAGTGGCAGTACACACTATGTACTATGTATGTATGTAATAGTGCCCAGTACACACTATGTTCTCGTAATGCCACACAACTACTCAGGCGGTTAGCTTTACCTAGAAATGCTTTCTACTGCTTATCAACATGCCCGCTCCTACTCAGTTTTCAAGTCTCAGCTCAAACACAACCACTACTAAACCCTTCCCTGGTATTGCAGGCAGAGATCAAGAGCTCTTGTTAGATTTCATTTGCACTTGTACCTACCTCTGTTGTAGCAAATAGCATACTGTATTTGAACTACTGGTCAAGATATCTGTAGTCCTATTAGACTATAAGATCCTTGGTCAAAGACAACGACTTTTCATCTTTATATCCTCCTCACTAGTTCAATTCACAGTCACTAGTTCCGTGTACATTACTAGTTCAATGCAGATATATAATAAAAAAGGAGAGGAGAGGTTAATGAATAAGGTATGGGCCAATGAAAGAACAAGAAAATCAACTGGACTTTGAGTATAGAAAAACAAATACCAGATCTTAAGAAAGTACAGACATCTGTAGTACAGACATCTGTTACTGTAGTACAGACATCCATTACTAAGTCCTAACCATTAAAAAAATAGAAAAATATGGTTATTCAGGTAGTATGAAGATGACAAAAAAAAAACTTGTTATTGGACTAAGTAGACATTAAGAAGGTAAAAGTTTCCAGTGGAACAGTTGACAAAGATCAACAGAGACGCCAGAGAAAAAGATGATTGTTTCTAGGAACCAAGTAATTCACTGACCTAAATTCATGGACTGATCAAGACTGCCACCTTTCTCTCAGTTCGCAACCCCTCTCCTGTGTCATTATTCTGCATCACCCTTTGAGTCCCCACTACCAAATCCCCAATGCCATGGGTAGTTTCCCTCCAGTGGAGCCACAGGTCCAGGCCAATGGCTTAATCCGGATGCAAGGGCAGGCAGTGGGAGGGTATCTTTGTTCTTATGTCTAGGACTTTGAGGAAAAATGAAACAACTATTTACTGAGAATTTATTTTATGACAGATACTGTGCTACATTACACTCACTGACTGAATTTCACAGTAATCATGAGTAATTATCCCATTTACACATGAGGAATTTACGTCCAAGGTCAACAGCTAAGCAATGACAGGGCCCGCCTGAAAACCTAAGAATGACAACCTCCAGAGCTTTTTCTATACCCTCACTACCTCAAAATGGCGGGAGACGTGGTCCAACCATTCTAGGTTGGCACTCAGAAGACATTTGCCTCCAAAACACTATTATATATGTCAATTAGAGTCTACAGTACCACTAATATATAATAGGCTCACAATGAGTTTAAAAAGCTTTCCTTACTACCATATGAAAGTAAGTACTATATTTCCTGGGGTCCGGACCTGGAAATCTAAATGCCATTTATTCCTATCAGTACACTGTTCACTTTTACAAACAATAGACTTGAAAATGAACTTGTGGAATACAATGGGTTCTTAAGTAAGGCTTTTCTTTAAGAATATTTTCTTGCTTCCACAAAAAATATAAAAGCCACCAAGGATAGAATGATTTTGCCTTGTTAACTTGTAAGAACAATGACACTAGAAGAAACCTGTGGGAAATATGCTTATCTGACCAGGTGCTCATTTTCGGTGGGCTGTCATTTGACTAAAACATCATACTAAACCCCACAGACCACACCTTACGATAGAAATGCCACAAACTATAGCAGTACAGTTGATATGCCTATAATCTACTGACAAAACGTACTCCTCAGTAAAGTGAAACCAGATGTCTGGTGTGAAATCAGATGTCTGTGAACTTGTCTTTCTCAGTTTTCAGAGCAGTATTAGATACGCTAAATACTCAGCTAAGCTGTATATTAAATCCACAACTTGGCAAAATCATGACAGTTTGGACATGAAGCATCAGCATTTTTATTGTAATTCTTATAAACCAAAGACATTTCTGAAATAGAAATCCTAAGTTTAAGTACTCAGCTAAATACAGTAGTATGTCTTTCTCACTTTAAGAACAGTGTCAGGGCTTTTTAAACACATTATAGAAATTCTTTCCCTTCATTTTTCAAGCTGACACACTTTATCCAGGGCTGTGGAATGATCTGATAAGGTCACATCAGGTGTCAGTCCCTGTCCCAGAAATTCTAGGATCAGATACACCAGGTGATCCCCTGTGAAAAGCAAAACCCAGGGAGGCTTAACAGCTATAGGAAAGTTAGGTACTACATGGCTTTCCACAATCAAAGGGAAGATCATAGGAAAGTAATGGATGACTACATAGAAAAACAGGGAGGGAAATTTAAAAGTACTTACGTGCCAGGCACTGTTTTTTCACACATTCTTTTATATATACTCTTTCTGTTTTGATGGATAAGAAATCAAGCAGCAGGGAAGTTTTAATGGCCCAAAGTGACACAGCTAATAAAATAAGAGCCAGAAATCAAGCTTATGTCCAAAAGACTATAAAAGTCATGCTACTTCTACATGAAAGTTTCGGGTGGAGTGAGGAGGGGTGGTAAATAGCCACGAAGACGGAGAAAAAGGAAGAAATTTATAATTTTACCAAATAACGTGAAATAGATATATATATAAACATGTATTATGTCCCACATATGTTCCATATATAATACATAGTTAAGATGTATGCATTTTTAACATATACTTAAGTTGCATATTTAGTATGTGTATATATGGAACAAAAAGTTGAAGAAATACATATCAAATTGTTAAATGGTCATCTGAGAGTAGGCTCATAGGAAACTCACATTTTGCCTTTTACATCCCTCCCAGATTTAATTCTAAATAACTTTTTTTGACTTTATATTACTCTTATAACCAGAAAAAGCCAAAGAACTATTCTAGTTTAGATTTTTTAAATGAGGCTAAATGCACAGAAACCCATGCAAGTTAATGGTCTACTTTCGTATTTGTTTTTCTAAGTACATCATCATTTACACTCTCCATGATTCCTAATATTAGGTCCTTCTTATGGAACAACTACAAAAGTTATCCTCATCTAATTATTATACTTGTACACTGGAAAACGACTGTAACATTATTCAGTATAGGACACAAATCGCCAAGGTCAGTCATCCTTGTAAGTTTATTACTGAAAGTACTAGAAAGGTGTAGTAATAATTATATTCTCCACAGCACTGTACAGACCTGCAAACCACTATGATCAGTAGTAGAGGGAAAGTCTTGTACATTAACATGTAACGATTCAGAAAATCCACAAAACTGGTGGAAGGCCTGCCCCAAAACAGCCATCTCCAATACAATCTCATCATTCTCACTATCCTACTTTTATCGAAGTGCTGATAAAAGGGCTCAGCACATGGTAAAAAAGAGAGAATTAGCTATTGAATCAATGAAGGAACCCATTATCAAGAAACAATCACTTCCTGGTTTTCCATAAAGTGAATTATGTGGTCACCTATCACTTGAGCACAAACAGGCACGTTCAGGATACAGGCAGCCAGTATCAGAATAGGCAGCCGATCACAGAGGGCAATTCTACTTATCCTGTTTAAGAATCCAAGAATGTGGTTTACTACATTCCTGCTTGTATCTAATCTGAATTTCAACTAATTTAAAACAGTTATTTATATGTGACATACAGGATGCATAAGGAGTTCCCAACCTTGTGAGAGGAGGTGTGTTTCATTTCACCATACAGGGGAGAGGGAAGCAGTGTATTAAAGAAGTGACAGAAAAGTCCCACAGAAGAACCAATGAAATAGACCACACTGAAAATCACAGTAGGCCTCAGAAGACTTCAGTGTCCTTTTTGGCAACTTTTCAAAAGTGAATGGAATGCTTGCAAGGAGGTACCAAGAGTGAAAGTCCAGAGAAAAAGGCCCAGCCTGGTCATCTCTCTCCCCTCAAAACATCTTCTTCTGTAAGCTTGAGAGAAAATCCCAAAGAACTTCAACATTAGTAACCTTGTTACTATCTTTACGCCTCGGGGTCCTAAAGGATTTTTTCAGGAGTCCCCTTTTAAAATGTAAACATCCCTAGAGGGGGTTACTGTTCATTTTCAAACAGGACCTGGATTCTTTAGTGCTACGGTCTCAGGGATTAGTCAAAGCTGGCTAATAAGATAGGGGCCGGAGACAGACAACTAGAGAGGACCACTGTTGCAAGGTAAAAACAGGTAAAGGGGAAGGGCAGTTTTCTGTCGGGTCAAGCGGCTAAAAGGGATCCATATGCCCAAGCTGTTAAACTCCCAGGCAACTTTATAGACTTTGTGAGCTTGAAAACAGCCCGGGGCTTGGGGCCTGTGACTTTGAAGGTGGGTCCTCCAGTTCCCGATGAAAAGGTAGAATCTGGGCCCATGTTCCCCAGGAGTAGTTCTGGATCTAGCCCTTCTCTCTCTCGCTCTCAGGACAGTCCTAGCTCCTTCCACCCCTGACCATTCCTTACTTACCCTTTCTCCCGCTCTTCCTCGGTGAGAAGGGGTAAGTGGTTATTTTGTGCCCTCGCCCAATTTGGCCAAAACCCTAAAAGTAAAAAACGACAGACAGACACGTGCTTTAAAATCCTGTTGTTCAAGCCTGAGGCTCTCCCACCACCTGCCCAACACTTCCAGGCAGAAGGCAGCGCGTCCCCACAGCGCTCCCTCACGGCCAGGGCCGGGGACCGGACTAGTACCCTTTGTGAGGAATGGGAGAGGGCGCGTTCTGGGGGCTCGGCGAGGAGGAGTGGGCCGGCTCCGTGCCAGGTGTGCCGCCTCTGGCGCCGGTTTCCCACCCTAGTTAGCTAGTGGCGCCAGGAAGAAGACTAGGCAGGGGTGGCCGCCGCACGCGCCTCACATAAACACGCGCACGCACACATGCGATCACGCAGGACTCGCGGCCGCGCACCCCTCCGCCCCAGCAACGCTCGCCCCACCGGGGCCGGGGCCGACTCCCAGGGAAGGGTCCCCAGCCCAGGAGACCACCAAGGGTCGGCGGCTGCGCGCCTGCCCACCCCCGCCAGCCTCACAGCCCCCCGCCCGCCGCTGGACGCCCGGCGCCCGCCCTCCGCACCCGCTGCGCCGCTCAGCCCAGGGGAAGTCCCCGCGCAGACCCCGCCCTCCGCCGGCGGCAAGCTCCGCCCCGCCCCCCTGCGCGCGGTGGCCGTCCGAAGCTCCGCCCCCGGTGGAGAACTGGTCTCTGGACCGCCCACCCAGGTCGGGCTCAAAATGCGGCATGGATCTGAAAGGATCAGAAATGACACTAATTCAGCAAGCAATTATTGAGCACTTGCCCTAAGCTCAGTAACATACTAATCAGGGAGAGGACAGTAAAGAGCCGAAAAGTCTGTGAAACTGTGTTTTCAGCTCCTCCTCTTGTTTTGTAAGTCAGGAAACAGAACCCTCACAGTTGCTTAAGTGCAGGGCAGCAGTGGCAAAGCACCTCACGAATGATCTTTGGGCAACTCCTCATTGCATTTTTTTCCTACTCAGGTGCACTCAGGAAAACTATTCAGTTTTGCTGCCTCCAGGTAAACCAAAGTGAGTAATACAGGACAGGCGGTTTACTTGAGAGAAACTGGAATTTCATACTGAAGCTTTTGACCTTAAATGGGTCAAACTCTGTTTTTTTTTTGTTTTTTTTTTTTTTTTTTTTTTTGAGATGGAATCTTGCTCTGTTGCCCAGGCTGGAGTGCAGTGGCACGATCTCGGCTCTGCCTCCCGGGTTCACGCCATTCTCCTCCCTCAGCCTCCCGAGTAGCTGGGACTACAGGCGCCCGCCACCACGCCCAGCTATTTTTTTTTTATTATTATTATTATTTTTGTATTTTTAGTAAAGACGAGGTTTCACTGTGTTAACCAAGATGGTCTCGATCTCATGACCTCGTGATCTGCCCGCCTCGGCCTCCCAAAGTGCTGGGATTACACGCGTGAGCCACCTCGCCTGGCCAAATGGTACAAACTCTTAACTGGGTTATTACAACCTACAAAGAAACCTTCTTATCCATGTTATTAATTATCCTAATTCAATGTGGCTTCAAATGTTGATGAAAGTACCCAAATCATGGTGCTCCAACAAGCTGGATGCCAACCAGGTACTCGTAAGCACTTGCAATTACAGGTGCGATATTTTCATTTCTTATCATCCCAAGATGCCCTTCCTTCACGTGAAGCAGCTGGAAAAATTAACTACCAGATTCCCTATGATTGAGGAATTGATAAATAGAAAGGGAAGACGGAAACCGACCGAATTTTCCCATCGAAGTGAAACTTGAGAAACTTGCATGTATTTTACCTGAGTTCCTTTCTCAGGAGATACACTGTCAGACCTCCCAGATAGTGTCAAGGAACTGAAACTTTCCAGAACACTACATCTGGACAATGAGGAACATCTGCTGCCTGTTCACAAACTCCTCTTCCTTACCCCGCCATAATTCCCTGCTATAGAAAGTCCTAACTTTAGTCTCCCTAAGACAGGTTTGAGACTGGTCTCCCTGCCAGCGTCATCTGCATTAAAGCCTGTCTTCCCTGGCAATACTCGTTGTCTCAGGGATTGATTTTCTTTGCTAGGAGCAACCCAATCTAGGCTGAAGCCCAGGCATTCAGCAGCAGTGGCACCTAGAAGTACTGAACAGACATAAAATACTTTTTTCCTCCTTTTCTTACTCCTCCAGTTATATCTTCATTATTTCTGTCTCTGTTCTCCTAGATGCTGCCAAACTACTCTGTGCGCTTTCAGATCACTTAATACTAATGTAAGTAACAGACATTCTGGCATTCTTGGTTCAAAATTTATTCTAAAGGTTTAAGAATCTACTCAGAGTCTTAAATGACCTGATAACTAAAATTCCAAGAGTCTCCTGAAGCGAGCAAAATTGCTCTCTGTGAAGAGGATATGTGCCAGTTTTTCTTACTTGCCAGAGAAATAATTACTGTAAGGTAAGCTCTTTTCTGCCAGTGCTTAAGGACTTAATTGCAAAAGCAGTTAGGTGACGGGACCACCCTCATCAAATAGCAATCAAGAACTATTTGGTACCATGACCCCAAATTAAATGGAGCTCCTGGTCACTAGGAACTGACAGTCTGGGATGGAATGTAGGTGAATAAAGAACAAATACAGGTGTTTATGGCTTTTATTGTATTGGGAAGTAAATAAACATACAAAAAGAGTTGCTAGGTCTGGTCTGATTTTGTCAAGAAGATTCATCAAGTGTACTTAAAAAGAAGCTAATATCTGGAAAAGGCAGAACTATGGTGTATTAGTCAGGGTTCCCTAGAGGGACAGAACTAATAGGAGAGATATGTAAATATAAAGGGGAGTTTACTAAGCATTAACTTACACAATGACAAAGTCCCACAGTAGGCTGTCTGCAAGCTTGAGGAGCAAGACAGCCAGTCCGAGTCTCAAAATTGAAGAACTTTGAGTCCGATGTTTGAGGGCAGTAAGCGTCCAGCACAGGAGACAGCTGTAGACTAGGAGCTGGGAGACTAGGCCAGTCTCTCCTTTTCATGTTTTTCTGCCTTCTTTATATTCACTGGCAGCTGATTAGATGGTGCCCACCCAATTAAGGGTGGGTCTGCCTTTCCCAGTCCACTGACTCAAATATTAATCTCCTTGGCAACACCCTCACAGACACACCCAGGATCAATACTTTGTATCCTTCGATACAATCAAGCTGACACTCAGTATTAACCATCACATATGAAGACAGTAAAAAGATCAGTGATTGCCAGAGATCAGAGAGGAGGGGACATGAAGCACAGATTTTTAGGGCAGTAAAACTATTCTGTATGATATGATAATGGTGATACATTCATTATACATTTGTCCAAACCCATAAAATATACAACCCAAAGAGGGAGCCTTAATATAAAATCTCAACTTTGGGTGATAATGATGTCAATGTAAGTTCATCAGTTGTAACAAATATACTGCTCTGGTATAGGATATTCATAGTCAGGGAGGCTGTGCAGATGTGGGGTATAGGAATATATAGGAACTCTATACTTCCTGCTCAGTTTTGCTCTGAACCTAAAACTGATCTTTGGGAGAAAAATAGTTTATGACAAAAAGAAGCAGCAGTTAGAGCATCCTATTTTACTCTAATTTATCAATTAAATTCTAAGCTGAATATTTGGCTTTGTGTATCTAGTTCAAATACATTTGCTTTGTCTCCTCATATATTAAAGCAGACCTCTATTTGTTGTTAATAGCATCAGGGGAAAATGAATCATGTAGTCCTAACTAAGGTACAAATTTAAATTATAGTTAGGCATCAAATCAAATATTTAAGGAGCTAGTTAAACAAATTAAAATAATTAAGTTTACAAATTCCATAAATGCAGATATTAAAATCTATTCCTATCTATACATACTTACCATTAGTAAGCAAATAATAGAATTATCATAGAGTAGCAGTTCTCAAACTTCTTTTTGATCTCAAGTTCTCTTTACATTCTTAAAAATGAGAACTTTGAAGAGCTGTTGTTTATGTGGGTTATATATGTCCATATTTACTGTATTAAAATTTAAGATAGAAATATGTTAGACACATGTCTGTTTAATTTAAATCCATTACATGTTAGAACTGTAAATGTTATTTTTATAAATAATGACTACATTTTTTCCCAAAAAATTAGAGAAAAGTGGCATTTTTAACATTTTATAAATCTCTGTATTATCTGGCTTAATGGAGAACACTGGATTCTCATATTCTGCCTCTGCATTCAGGTTGTTGTGATATGTTGTTATACCTAAGATATGAAGAAAATTAACTGTCATACAGATTCATAGTTGAAAAAGGGAGGACCTTACAAAACAACTGGAAGGGTTTCAGTAACCCCTAAGGGTTCTCAAACCTCACTTGGAGAATTACTGCCAAATGGCATTTTGCATTTCATTTGTTTGAATGTCATGTATTTCCACACAGGCGTCTGTTAACACCTGAAATTATAGCCCTTTACTTATTTCAAGCTGTAACTCATATTTGTCAGCTCATATCAAATCATGACATTTCAAAAAAGTTTTTCAAAGCTTTTACTATATAGCAACTCTGATGAAATTGATATTATTATTTGAATTCATATGAAAACATTTGAGATTTCATTTATATCCTTCATCTAAAACTTTTTGGAAAATTTTGAAAATAAATTGTACCATCTGGAAAAAATGTAATATTGGTATATAGTTATTAATCCAGTTTTAGGTATACTTATAACAAGGTATATCCCATTTTATAAAAATAATTTAAAAGTGAGCTTAAAACAAAGACAGAATAAGCAATTATAGTTTTATTTATTAACTAAATAAATATTTGATTCTAAACTTACTACCTTGGCATGAAATTTTAAATATATAACCTTTCATTTGTATTACAAATAAAAATAATGTAAATCATCCAATTTGGGGTTTTTTAGTACAATTTCCAACTAAAAGAAGCTAGAGCTGACTAGTGGAATCTCTGACTTCAGATCTGGGCCAGGTTATACACAAGATGAGCATAGGATAACTTGTGCCACAAAGCCAGGAATCCATTAACAAAAAAACGTGTCAAAGGGACACAGAAACCAGCATCAAATAGCTCCTTTGGCCAAAGATGGACAATTTAAGCATCAGAAAAAGTAATGGATGCATTTGTTGGAAACATACTGAACATATAAAAATTCATGAGTTCTTAATGATGTTCCAAAAAGGGGAGATCAATAAAAGGAAAAAAAAAAAATCCACTAGACACTATTGCAAGTAGCTAGCACTAAGCCCTTGTTCTAAAATTGTCCATTAAAAGAAAATAATTCAAATTTTCTCATTTATCTTTCCCGATTAAACTATATATCAGAAAACCAAACTGTTATTGAGGGAAAGTAGTTTTTTATAATAAATATGAAACAACAGAATTGGAAACCCACCATTTAGCAACCTTGCATTTAATAAATGATTCAGGCAACCATCATCAATGGATCAAACTAACAGATGAAATGTTCATGAGGAACTTTCACAATGGTGATCAGAGAGTCACTACCTCAGCCTAATAATCTGTCATTACAAGTGGAACTCCAGATATTGTGTGCTTCCTGACCTAATGTCATCTGAAGCACTCAACACAACTATGAAATGTTATCACCCCAAAAACATGAATG